ACCTTGCGCATGCCAGGCAGGCGCTTTTGCCCCTGAGCTAAATCCCCAGCCCCGAAAAACTTTATTTCTTGAAGTTGATGTAACTTTTAAATCATACTTGTCTTGAGCTAATGTAAAATTTTTTTCAAATTCCCCCACTCGATGCATGGCGGAAGACAAGTATGGATGAACTGGGAAACTCTTCACACACGTGCTGGAAAGAAAGCTCAGAAACTATAGACGTTTGTTCTACACTGTTCATGGAACATGTGATACAGAGAATAATCTGGGCACTTATAGCTTACCAGGATGACAAGAACATTGTCAATATTTCCATATCCAGTGTGTCATATATGACACTGATTTAGACACCAGGTAGAGAATGTTATACAGTGTCTCTCATGTTTTCATATAAATCCTATTTTTGTTACAAAAATATGGGAAAATTTTAGCCAATCAAACTGTTTGCCCACTTCCCATTTAACTTGACTCATCACCTTTCTCTTCTTTAAATATACTAATTTTTATGAGTAATGAATGAATTTAGAAGGAAGCATAGTTGGTATAGCAATGCTTAGGACATTTTCAGGACCCCAGAAGTCATAAAATAGCATAATATTTTATGACTTCTGTAGTCTTTTTCCTTCATGGTGATGTTCTATCATCTTACACTTGGAGCCATCCAAACTGCCATGACTCCATGATACCAACTCTACACCCATTCCACCTGAACATTGTTGATTTTAATAGACAAAATAATAAAAGCCATGGAGTCATTTATTATTCACATTCCTTGAACAGAGAAATATCACCGTGTGTTCTTGAGCAAAGAACACAAGATGCACAGGTTACGGGGATTAATGGGAACATGGTTACAGTTATACAGTGGTAGAGATCACCTTGCTATTTTAACTTGTACAAGCAGAATTTAGCACTTTTCTTGAAAGCTTCTGCCACTATTTATCATTTTGGTTTTGGCACCAGTGTTCCAGAACTTACATATCTCCACACACATACCCTTAGAAAATTGCTGTTTTCTGATGACCTGAGATGTCTAAACTCCAAATTTTCCTATTTTTTTTCTCTCTTGGTCCCAGGGAGAAGTTGTTACGTGTGAGCTCCCAAGATTATGGCAAGGATCTGCAGAATGTTCAGAACTTAAGGAAGAAGCACAAACGCCTAGACGGGGAGCTGGTGGCACATGAACCTGCTGTCCAGGTAGAAATAGAATATCAGACCTGAAAAGATATAACTAACTTAGTATAAATTCCTTGTATTTTAGTTAAGCAGATGATAGTACAAAATGTGAAAGTAGCATGCCAAAGTCACTGTGACCTAGTCACAACCACAAACGTTCATTACTTATCCATGTTTTGTCTGCTGCAAATAGGAGGTTCTGAACAGAAAACTATGTTCTTTCCTGGAAGGAGCACTTCTAACATGACTGGGCATTCACTAACAATGGAAATGTTGGCTGGGACAATGAGGAAAGCTGTATTTGAGCTTTATGGGGTGGAAGTCTCTCAATCTGATCTGGCAGCAGTCCCAGTGTGACCATGAGTAATTTTAAAGTAGATCATGATGTGTAGCCTAGATAATAAGTGCTGAGATATTTGTCAACATACTGAGAAAGTTTAGCATGATTGATCTTGCTGCAGCTCTTTCTCATCTCAGGATTTCCTGGACCATCTTAAGTCCTGAGGACATGATCTAAAGAGTAGCAGGATGAGATACTTTGCCAGGGGTTATAGCTAAATGGGGGAAGAGTGTGGAGTGATGAGACACAAGCGGGGTTTGTTCTTCAGAACGTTCTGGCTATGGCAGAAAGCTTGAAAGACAAGGCTGCTGTGGGACAAGAGGAGATCCAGGAGCGGATGTCTCAGTTTGTTGAACACTGGAAGAAACTCAAGGAGTTGGCCCATACTCGGTGAGTGGGGAATAAAAGGCCAAATTATCTCCTTGGGGTTTAGGTTGTTCAGTGTTAGGGGGCATTACTAGGCCAGTTTCAGCACTGACTGTTCTCCCCAACTTCTTATTTATTTTATACATTCCTGCTCCAAAAGTCCTCCATGAAGCTTCCCATTTACCCTAGGCAGAAACAATCACTGCCTGCATTCTGCAATGCTTTTCTTGTGCATTTAAATGCAACTATATTTTACCATTATTTCATGCATGCGTTATCCTACATACCAGATTATTATCCACTGATCTGTTTTATGTCATTGCACCAGTTTTAATATTATGTGCACCATCTGTAATGAAAGAGTAGAGGTTTACTGCTCTTCCTGGCAGCCACGTAAATAATTTGAACCACACAGCCATACAGCATATAAAATAATTTCTCTCCAGAATCCCACATCTGTTGGCAATAGGAAGATGTTTCTACCTGAGGAACAAAAAGAGCCTTTAGCTCTGTGGTACCTTTATCATATAAGAAGAAAGTGATGCTGTGCATAGACACTTGGCATCACTGCAAATTTTCTCCAACTCCAAAGTCTCAGCATTTCTTTTTGTTTGAGTGGGGTTCTCTTTTTTCAATCAAGTTTCTTAGTAAATCATGCCCCAAACTGAACTTCCAGGGTAGAAATCTCCACCATTTCATAGAAGATCTCTAGTACCGACCAGTAGTAGGCACATAACAGATTGTGTTCTGGCCCAGTTCAGCTGTGACTGCCTTGTGAGAATCCTTGGTGGGCTTTGAACCATCCAACCCCACTGCTCATCAGCATCTTTTTATCCTTATCTGGCTAACCACCCTGCCATAGGGGCCTTCGGCTGGAAGAGTCTCTGCATTACCTGCAGTTCATGGAGGATGCGGAAGAAGAAGAAGTGTGGATCAGGGAGAAGGAAGCCCTGGCTGCCCGAGGGGACTGTGGAAGCACCTTGACTGCTACTCAGGTGAGGAAGCAGAAAGATGGGCCCACTTTCCTCTCTTTAATTTGAAACTTTTCTTAAGTAGTTTTCACCTGTACAATTACAACACCTCTCCTGGTGGGAGAATGACATGAGTGCAATATGGACAATTCTGCCAATTTTAATAATGAAAAATCAAGGTCTGGAAATATCACTGACTTGCTTGAAGTCATGAGAACAAGAAGGCAAGAAGGTAAAACTCAAATCTTAGTTCAGGACCTGTGGCCTATAAGCCAAAGACAGCATGGTGAAGGGGCTTTTCTTACCTACTAAAACCCTTACCTGTGAGAGATTTTCTAAAGATTTCCTCAAATCCATACATAACATTTACTTAAGAAAGAGTCCTCATGTATTAACACTGATCGAGAGTATAGTTTTCTTAGAATAATAATTTAAGTGTGTCTATTGGACAGAATAGTTCCATAATTTAAAAGCACTCTTTTAAATGAGGACTGGATTTCCTAATAAATGAGCAAGCATTGACTATGAACTCCTGTAGATATTAATTCACTTTTATTTGATGACATAAGGAAAGACTTAAACTTGTGAATGAAAGGTTAACATTTAAGTGATATGTCTTTCAAATAATCAGCTTATCTTATTTGGAAAAGTCTTCTGGAACTTGTACATGTACACCACTGCATTTGTTTAAGCATTTTAAGGCCTTGTATCAAATATTCTCAAACACTTACTTTTTTAAGCATTTAAACTTTTTATTATGAGAATTATAGATTCACATGTGTTTTTGAGAAATAACATAGTTGCTCATATTACAAAATATAGGAATGAAAAATTGATCAAACAATATTGAAGATAGAAATATGCAGTGTGTTAACTCCTACTCTCCTACTGTCTTGTTTTGAAATTTTGTTACTCTCCTACTGTCTTGTTTTGAAATTTTGTATCATTGCTTTTATTATTTTTTCCTCTTTAAAAAAGGAAATAATATAAAGAGGTCCTATGTATCCTTTACCAAATTTCCTTCAATGACAACATCAAGAAAACTGCAATACAATAACATAAGCAGGACATTGGCATTGCTAAGATTCAGAATGTGACCGTCACCACAGTGATATCTCCTGCTGTTCTTTTATAGCTACAACTTCTTTCTCTCATCCCTCTCCTATCCTTATTCCCTGGAAACCACTAATATTTTCTGTATTTTTATAACTTTCTCATTTTAAGAATGTTACATGAACCAGGGATATAATTCAGCAGCACAGAGCCTACCTGGCAAGCGCGAGGTCCTGAGCTTGATTCCTGGTAACCAAAAAAATAATAATAAGATAAAAAAAGAAAGTTACCTGGATGAAATCATATACCATAAAGCTTTTTAAAGTTGCATTTTTCACTCAGCGTGGTTATTTGGGTGATTAATTCATTCCTTGTATATAACCACAGTTCATTCCTTTTCATTATGGATAGTATCATGGTGTAAGTGCACCAGAGTCTGACCACTTATTTTTATAAAAAGACTTAGAATGTTTCTACTCTGTTGCTATTTTGAAAAAGGCTCTTTTAAATATCCACATAGCAATTCCCATTCAAGGATAAGTCAGTATTCCTGTGGGACCAATGTTCAGGATTCCAGTTGCTGGGCCACATAGCAACCACTAGTTTAGGTTAACAGAAAAGTTTAACTGTTTCCTAGAATGTCTATAACATTTTACCCTCTCACCACCAATACTTGAGTGACAACATCTCTCCATGTCTCTGCTGATATTTTATATTTTTGCTATTTTCAGTTTAGTGGTTCTGATAAGTGTGTAATGATAGCTTCTTGTGGTTTTAATGTGCGTGTCCCTAGTAGATAATGCTGGGTTATATTTTTTGTGTTTCACACCTGTGTATATTTTACAATGAAATGTTTCTTTAGGTCTTTTAAACTTTTCCTCGGTGGATGATTTGCTTTGTTTTGTTTTCATAAAAATATTTAACATGAGATGTGCTATATTGGTAAATGCTTAAGCATCCTACACATTATTGCTGACTATGGATACAAGGCTATCAAACACAACTCCAGACTTAATTCTCATTTGACTGAAATTTATTCCTGATGATAGTAATGTTCCATTTCCCCCTCTGCTTAACCTCTCATAACTGCAGTTTCTATCTTTTATGAATTGATCTTGCATAAATAAAATTATGTGGTACTTCTCTCTATATGACTGATTCATCCTACTTAATACTGTATAATGCATGTGAGTTCTATCTCTGTTGTCACATATTGTTTGCATAATTCTTCTATGAGCCTGAACTATACTCCAGTATACATATATACAACATGTCCTTTATCTATTCATCCGTCAGTAGACAATGGACAGTTAGGTTGCTTCCACACTTTATCTACTGTGAGTAGTGCTTCACTGAATGTATGAGTGCTGCATTAGTCAGCTCTCCCATCGCCAAGACACAAAACCTCCCACCCACAACTTAAAGGAATATCATAGTTGCAGGATGCTTTGAGGCAGAAACCTCACAGTGGAAGGGCCTGGTAGAGCAAAGATGCTTAGTTCTTGGCATCTGGGAAACAGAGAAAGAGAATAGTGCCTGTGAAGAAAGAGTGAGGGACCAACATAGACCCCCGCAAGGCTATGACCCAGCTAGACACGCCCGGATGTGTGCTCCCCTGTTCCCAGGGATGGATCCAACTACCACTAATATCTTGTCAATGTTTCAATATTTTTAGATAAACACTCAGAATTAGGATTTCTGCATCATTTGGTAGTTCCATTTGCATTTTTTAAAGAAACACTAAGAATTTTTCATAACAGCAGCACCATTGTACATTTTCACCAGCACTGTGTCAGAGTTCTAATTTCTCCACATCCTCATTAACACTTGTCATCTTTTATTATTTGATAATAACCATCCAGGCAAGACTGAAGTGGCATCTCATTGAGGTTTAACTTTTACTTCTTTAGTAATTAATGAGAGTGAGTACTTTTCATATAACTCATTTATACCTTCTTAGTGGACATTTTTTTCCAGTTCCTAAGAAAAAATAGTTATCACAAATTAAAAAAATAGCTATCACATTGATTGATTGATCGATTGGAATTTATTTAAGCAATTTCATATATATATATATATATTATATATATATATATATATATATATGGCAAATCCCTTATCAGATAAATGGTTTGGATTCTGCAGCTCAATTTTTCACTCCATTGTTTCCTCTGCTGTGCTGAGCTAGTCAGTTTGATGTAGTCTTACTTTTTGTTTTTGTTGCTTGTGCTTTTGGTGTTGGATTCATATAAATGTAGCAAAAACCAATGTTATTTAGTTTTCCTTCTATTTCCTTTCAGGAGTTGTATAGTTTATGACTTTAATTTATTTGTGTTGGTTTGTACTATATATGAGAAGAGTCCAACCTCCTCCTTCTACAAGTGAAAATTTAATTTTCCCAGAACGATTTTTAAGAGAGATTGTCTTTCTTCCATTGTATATTTTTGAGATTTGTAAAAGATTAGTTGAAGGTGTATTCATGGTTTAATTTATGGGATATCCCTTCTGTTCCATAGACCTATGTCCTTCTGTATGCCTATACTATATTATTTACATTACTAGAGCTTTGCAATATGTTTAGAAATCATGAAATGTGATTCTTTCTTCTTGTTTAGTATTATCAGGATCAATTTGGCTATTCAAAGTCTTTTCTGGTGCCAGATAAATTATTGATTTTTCTGTATCTGTTAAAATACCAGTAGAATTTTTATGAGTGCATTGAATCTATAGATTATTTGTAGTATGGGCATTTTAACAATATTGAATCTCCCAATCCATGAATCCAAGATATCTTTCCACTGTTTGTATCTTTAATTTCTTTCCTCAGTCTTATGTGGTTGTCAGTGTACAAGTTTTACCCTCACTGGCAAAATCCATTTTCAAATATTATAAATTCAATTATAAAAAGAACTGCTTTCTTAATTTCCTCTTCAAATATTTCAAATATTTGAAGTACAATTGACTTTTATGAGTTAATTTTTGTCTTGAACTTTCATGATTGTTTTACTAGTTTTCTTTTTTATTGGAAAACATCATATGCTTTGCAAATAGAAACAATTTTATTTCTTCCTTCGTGATTTAGATTCTTTATTACTCTGAGTTAGATTTCCAGTATAATGTTGAATAGAAGTAACAAGAATGCACGTCTTTACCTTGTTCTTGACCCTAAAAAAAAATCTTTTCCATTTTTTACCATTGAGTGTCATGTTAGTTATTGTTTTTTTAATATGCAGTATGATGCATCATGTTGGTGTAACATCCTTTATCTAATTTTTCAGGAATTTTTATAGTGACAGGGCACTGAAGCTCCTCAAATGCTTTCTTCTATTTATTGAGTTGACTGTATGATTGTTTTTGTCTTTTGTGCTGTTAATGTAGTATATCATATTTTTGACTTGCATATGTTGAATTATCCTCGTATTCTAGGAATAAATCCCATTTGATCATGTTGTACATTTTTTAATAAGCTATTGGATGCAGTTTGTTAGTATTTCATTGAGGATTTTTGTATATATGCTCATCAAAGATATTAGCCCTTATTTTTTCCTTTCTTTTTTGCCATTGTTATCAAAATCTCATAAATGGAATATGGTAATGTTCTTTCCTCTTCAGTCTTTTGAAATAGTTTTTTGAGAACTAGAATTAATTCTTTAAATGTTTGAATGAATTCATCAGTGAAGCCATCTGGTCCTGAGATTTTCTTTGTTGAGAAGTTATTGTTTCCAGATTCAATTTCTGTATAATTTATTGGACTACTTGGACTTTTCCACTTGATTTATTCTTTGTAGACTGTATGTTTGTAGGAATTCATCCATTTCTTCTAGTTTGTCTAGTTTGTTGCCATATCAAAAAAGGTTATTGTCACATAGTAATTTAAATACAGTGACATTTGTATTTTTTTGACTCTTCTTTTTTCCAGTAAGATTATCCTTTTTAATAAAGGGAGATTTGAGAGAGATGAATTTAGTAAAATGGTTCCAGGGCAAGTGGGCATTCATGTAGTCTGCCAACTTAGCTGAACTAACCCATATGTAGAGCATCACAGTGAGCTTGATTGTGGGTAGAGACAGTTTTTCCAGACTTGGACTTTCTGATTTTTACTGACTCATTTATGTAGAACCTACTAAAGAAGCACGAAGCTTTGGCTAGTGACTTTGCTGTTCATAAGACCCGAGTGCAAGACATCTGTGGACGAGGAGAAGACATCCTGAATAAGGTGAGCTCATCCAGGGATTCCAAGTCAAACTTCCATTTCAAAGAGCTGTGGCTCCAATATAAAAAGCATGGCGAATTGTGAAGTGTTCTTGAACACTGATAAACCCACATGTAGAACTTTAGCATTCTATTCTAAATTATTTCTTATTGTTGCTACTGCCAGCAATTCATTATCTACTCAATTGCTGTTTTATGCAAAATATTTTTTAAAAGTTCTATATGTACCTTTTCAACTTCCTTAAATCCTTTGTTGATTTGCTGCCCTATATGGACCTTATTACTGAGTTTGGCCAAAAACAAAGTATTAAAATAAACTGAAGAAATTTCCTTCTAAGTCTTCAAGGAGGAGGACCACAAAGCAACCTTACTGTAATTTGAGAATCATTTTTAAATGTTATTCTTACAAAGCCTCATTAATCTGAGTTCTATATGAAGACTCCTAAGCAGAGATAGCACCGTACATGTGAGAAGCTTACATCAACTAAGATCACATTTATGTGCACAAACATAGGATCCTTTAAATTCTGAAACAAAAATAACTTTTTAGAGATGATTGAATAATGGAATAATTACACTAGAGCTAGAGAAGGTAGTTATATATTTAGGATCAAAGAGATGAGAGCTTCTTAATGGTACTTAGGAAATTAGCATTTCTAGCTCTGGACATGGATCAGTACATTGACCTCTCTTTTCTCTTCAACGTGCTGTTGCAGGAGGAAAGTCAGAACAAGGAGACAATTTCTGCGAAGATTGCAGCTCTGAATGAAATGATTGCTTCTCTGGACAAGGCACTAGAGGCTTGGAAGTTGCAATTGGAAGATGATCTTGTCTTACAGCAGTTCAACTGGAAGGCTGATGTGGCAGAGTCCTGGATAGGTGTGATATGCCAGGGCCAGCACCTACTGAAATTAAGAAATACTAATAAATTGCATTTACAAAATGTTCTCTAAGGCTTTTTCTCTTGCAATGGTAAAAAGATATTTTTTCTTTACTAATCACTCTATCTACCCTTATCTTTTCTGGAGGCAGTTGTACTCAGGAACACACACACACACACACACACACACACACACACATGCAAAAATCTGATAGAGGAACTAAGTGTCTCAATTCCATGGAACACATTTTGGGAAAAGGGAAATTTAACACACAGTAAGCAAAAGCCATCACAAAGCATTCTAGGAATTAAGCTACATCATGTGATTTACTCATAATTTATGTCTGATAAGCAATTTCCCTTTTTATTTTAATAGAATGCAAAATTTCTCTTGGCCCTAATTCTGTCTTAGTCAGTTCTACCCTATATAAGGACAAAAAGCATTCCATTGTTCATTAATGCTCCTATGTTCCAGTGAGTTGCCTAGAACACACACGCTTCAATCTAAGAGAATCAAAAGACTTCTTTGTTGGCTATTGTAAATAAATAATCATTTACCATGGCTCATAAGGACAATCGTCTTTATCTTTTCATTAATCTTCTTTGCTTTATAGGGGAGAAAGAAGCAAGCCTGAAGAACAAAGGCAATAGTGCAGACCTCACTGCCTTTCTCGGGCCACTGGCAAAACAGGTGAGAACAGATTGCAGTGTGTTCAGGTGCCAGGAAGGTCCAGCACCACACTGCAGGGATGTTCATCTCTGTTTCTCTGTGTCTCTGTCTATCTCTGTTTCTGTCTCTCTCTGTTTCTGTCTCTGTCTCTATCTCTGTCTCTGTCTTTGTCTCTCTCCTCTCTCCCTTACTCTTTCTCTTTCCTACGTTAATGTTGCTGTTAAATGTTTGTTCATTTCTTGGAGAACCAACATTTTTTTCTCCTCTTTTTTTAGTGTTATATAAGTTGTAAATACATCATGGATACGCCCATCATAGGGAATTGGTATATGTACATATTGTACTTTGATCCTTTTTACTTCTCCTTTCATCCTGTTTCTCCTCATCTCCAAATCTTTCCAATTCCAAAAAGCAATATTGGGCTCTTTGTTTTATCTGTTTATTTTTGTGTTCTATTAATGTCTGCACTAGTCCATTTTTGTTATAATTAAATGCCTGACAAAAGCTAATTTTACAAAGAAAATAGTTTTATTTAGCACACAGTTTAATGGTGAAAGTCCAAAGAGTATACTGAAGACCCCAAAGAAGATGGCAGGAACAAGGGTGGAAGGAACAGAGCACATCTACAAGTAGGAAGCCAGAGCCCTGGTCCCTTCTGAGAGCAGCCTCCAGTGGACCTAAGGGCTTCCCTTATGCCTTGCCACTTAGAGATTCCACACCATCCTCATTAAGCTGAAGATCAAATGCATGAACCTTTGGTGAACACAATTAACTCATATCCAAAATGGAGCAATATATTTTATATTTTTATCATTTTCTTGTATTTTTTGAGATTAACTTAACATTCTTGCTTTTTGTTTTTAATCTTTTAAAGAAGGACAATTATATGATCAAAATTCAGCTATTCTTTTTATGTATATGAGGATATAAGCTTCAGTTATGTTTCTCTGCAAAGATTCAGCTGTTTCCCACAAATATTGTGGAGTTTTAATCAAACTCTTTCTGATATTCCTACTTTAAATTCTTTTGGTCCATTAATTATTTGGCAGTGTATTGTTCAATTTCCAAAGCTGTGGAAATTTTCTGATATTCTGAGTTATATTTAGTTTAATTTTGGGGCTGGGGATTTAGCTCAGCGGCAAAAGCGCCTGCCTGGCAGGCGCAAGGTCGTGAGTTCGGTTCCTGGTACCGGAGAAAAACCAAAAACCAAAAACAAAAAAAACAAAACAATAGTTTAATTTTACTTTGATTTGAAAATATTCATTATTTTAGAAGCTCTAAGCTTGTAAATATTAAGCATATATCTTAAAAGAATATGTATTTCACATCAGTTTATATTTATCAGATTTTGGTTGTTAACTATGTTTTAAAAATATATTATTATTTTTACATCATTTAGTCTAGTCTAAAAGTTGTTCTGACATGTAGAATGATCTTGATGAATTGATATTTTTCTTATAGAATGTTCCTCTTTTTCCCTAATAACATTTTTTATGTCCTCTTTTTCAGATATTAATGTACTATACTTTCTCTTTTAATATTTGCAGTGTATATCTATTTCATACTTTAGGATTTATTTCTACACATTTTTGCATTTAAATTACATGTATGTCCTGTAAATATTGTATATTGTGTAAAATTGAGTATTACTGAATTTTTCTATTTTAATGATTTTTATTGGAAAAATCACTTACATTTAAAGAAATTAACATGAATTTTGGTTTAAAGCTATAATTCAACAACTTTTCCCCTCCCCACTTTTTCTTCTGGGATTGTAGTAATTCAAAGTAGTTTCAGGGTCAATTTATTTTGTTTTGTTTTGTTTGTGGACTTGTATGCATTACGATTGTTCCTATTCCTGAAGGATTTCTGAGGTTTCAGCTGTAGTCCTAGAACCAGAATTGCTTCTATTTGATGGCTGTTGAAGTTTTCAGTCTGATACCACAAAAACCTACTTTGCATCTTAGAGTCTCAGCTACTGTTTCTTCCTAGAACTTATGTCGTATACAGTTTAGAAATGTAAAATTTCTTGAGAGGAAAAGACAGTGCAATATTCCACCTAATTTTCTGCATTTCCCTTTTAATGGCTTTTTCTGGTTTCTTCAACACTCCAGTGTGCTTATTTTTTTTTTTATCTCCATAGGATTGTCAAACTCTGAGAGACACTTTCTTCTCTGCCACTTACCCTGTAAAGGTTATACTTCAAAGGGAAAATTGGAGACAATTGGACCCTTACTCGGTCCTACTCCTTTCTGTCTGAAATGCTGGGCTCTTGAGTTGTACCTGTCTGTGTTAGTCACTTTTCTCATGTTTCTGAGACAAAATGGTCAACATCCACAAGTTAAGGAAGGACAGGCTTATTTAACCCACAGTTTGTAAAGGTTTCAGTACATAATCCACTGGCTCCAAGACAGAGTGACACACGGCAGAGGGGCAACCATTCCTGGCAGTGGAAGAAAGCAAAAGCAACAAGAGAGTTTAGCAACATCTTTCTGACCCTTTTATTTTATTCAGACTACTGGGATTAGGGCAGTGCTCAACCAATCAGTGGACTGATTTGATAATCATATACCCTTAATCTCAACATCATACAATCTAGATTCAGCCACCGCTGAAAAAGCTATGATGCCTGAGGCTTTGGGGAGGGGATATCAAGACACAAACTTTAACACTACCTAAGGTGCATTCAGATCCCTTTCATTCAGTTGTTTTGTTTTCTATTTGCATTTTTATGTAGTTGTCAAAATTATTCTCACAGTCAGAATTAGTCCAATATAAGCCATTCTATTAAAGCTGGAAACGGAACTTCCTCAATCTTGTGATTTTGACATCAATTTTATACAAACACTTTATTAGCATAACTTCCACAGGTAGGAGTTCTTGTTAGTTTGTGCAAGGTCCTTAGTTTGATTTCTGGTTCAAAAAAAAAAAAAAAGATTGAAGACAAAATATGCATACAGTAGAAAGTAAGCATAATTTCAACTCCAATGATTCACTTATAACTTTTAGTTACATTTTGTTATTCTTAGTTGCCATCCTAATTCTTATCTACCCATCATCTTGCCCATGTTTAGAAACATGGTGGAACTATATTCTGGTTTAGAATGGACCCTTAGGACCTGTAGTATTTTCCCATTCTTAGCCTATGTACTACTGTTTTGTTTGTTTGTTTGTTTTGCAGGACACTCTGGAGGCCAGTCTTCAGAGCTTCCAGCAAGAACAACTTTCTGAGATCACTGACCTCAAGGACCAACACGTAGCTGGTCAGCACAGCCAGGCCAAAGCCATTGAGGAGCGCCATGCTTCCCTGTTGAAGCACTGGGAACAGCTGCAGGAAGCTGCTGCAGCTCACAGACAGAAACTACAGGAGAAGCAGCTGCCTCTACAGCAGGTAAAAAGAAGGAAAGAAAAATGACAAGGCATAATGTCACCTCAGTTGTCTAGATGTTAGCTATGGGGTTCAAAAATAAATGCTGGAAACATTGCTTGGAATATCTACATAGTCTTGGGCATTGAAAAGCATCGAGAAGATATTCTCATTGAGTGAAAAAGAGTTCATGTTTTCTGGATTCATGAGGTGCTTTTATTGTTTGTTATTTGCACTACTGATAATTGAAATTAGGGCTTTATACATGACAAGCAAGCACTCTACCATTCATTTGCATTGCCAGCCCTTCTAGTTCTTTTTATTTTAAGACAGGATCTCACTAAATTGCCCAGGTTGACCTTAAACTTGCAATCCCTCTGCCTCACCTGCCAAGTAGCTGGGATTACAGGGATGTAACACTGTATCTGGATAGAAAGGATGTCTTTTAAAATGAACTGAGTTGAAATAGATGTCAGACAAATGTCAGTGTGAAAAGGGGACAGGACAAGGCAGTCAAAAGCCTTTGTACATGATACAATGAAGGCAGGAAGGGTTTAAATTCATCCTTGTACTTTAATCTAGACAACATAAAAAGAGCACTCGACAGGTAATCAGAAAGTTTGCTCTAAAATTCCCTTGAATTGGCTTTCCTAGGTGAGAAAGCTTACATGTGTCACGTAACATGTAGAACCTTGCTTCTGTTTAAGAAATAGAATAGTATTGCCCTACTCACCTGCCTTTCTGTGTTATTATGTTCCTAGCAGCGCAATTTGTAATTGCTGAATTGTAGAAGCAACCCAAATGTCCATCCACTGAGGACTAGATAAAAAATCGTGGTACTTCTATATAATGGAATATTACTCAGCTATAAAGAAAGATAAACTCGAGACTTTTATAGGTAAATGGTCACAACTAGAGACCATACTCATAAATGAAATAAATCAGACCTGCATGTGTAAGCATCATATTTTCTCACTAGTGTAAGAACTGAAAGAGTGAGTAAAAACTAGGAGGTATGATAGAAATTGTGAAATGAACAGAAAATGCTCAAAAGTAAAAGGCAACTGAGGTGTGGGAAAAGAGAAGGGAAAGAAGGGAAAATTATGTAAATATGTGTGTACAAGATAGCTAACATGGTTGTACTACTGTCTTCTATTGCTCTACAGAAAGGAACAGTTAGTGATTACTTGTTTGATCAATCTTGTATGTCTCTATTTGCTTTCCTGAGAAACCACTTTGAAGATATCAATAAGCAATATAACAATCATGGTTAATTTCCTACAACTTTGTCTGTAACTCTGTTTTGTTTGTGTTGTTCTTATGCTATTTTGTAAATGGATGTCTGTCTGTTAATATGTTTTCCTTTTTTATTTTAAAAAATATACTAAGAAAGAGAGATATTGGATCTAAAATTTTCAGTTTAAACAGCTAAATTCTAAAACTGCAGTATAAATAAGTTCTATGTAAATGTAAGTGAATAAAATTTTCTCCTTAAGAATGGCTGTTAAGGCATTGGATGTTGATCATAGAGTTTATTAATATTTAGAAGAAATCAGGATGGCCAGTGAAGTTACTGAACACACCTCACACATAATGAATTTTGGCAATAAGTAAAGGCAGGGAGTTAGAGAAATTTGAGAACAAACACACAAGTAAATGTCAGTCATTCTGGATCTTTACTTAATTGCTAATCTATTCAGGGATGTAAGACTACAGAAATAAATCTTAAAACAAAAAGTAAAACCATCAAATGGTCAAGTTTGCAGAGTACATTCTATAGAGGAAGTCTTCAGTTTTTTTACTGTTTTGCTTAGTTTTCAAATGACTAAGGGGCTGTGTTATATTATTTCTTGATTATCAAATGTTTATAAAATACTCAATCAATCTATATTAGAAAAGTAATATGAAGTCCTTTATAGGTTTTCATGTTCTTGTGTAAAAGCCATGTTAACTTTCTCTGTATTTGTTTTACTTTAGCATAAAAATTAGAGAAATTAATAACCAGTAGGAGGTAATGATGTGATACCTTGTCATTCTTCCTCCATTTAGACAATTTCTTTTCTTTTCAACTCCCTTTTGTTTGGCAGGGGGGAGACAATTCATTTTGTTATTCTCTCCAGACAAATCTTACAAATACAATCTGCTGACCCAAAATCTATGATGAATTCTAAATCTAAAACTTTTTCTGATTATCTGTTGTGCCAAACAATTCATGTCTTTTCTCTCTTTCAGTAAAATAGACAATGTGGAGTCATTCAAAGTATGTGGATAGTTTCAGGCAATAATATAGGGATACATGGATTCATGCTAAGGATGTAGGTCACAATGTAGGAAATGGATTGAAGGAGTGGTTTGAAAAGCCTCAGGCATAAAATGAGATCTGAGTAAGATTAAAAAGGAATTCAGGAAAACGACTTACTGTAGTCCAAGAGATGCCAGCAGCTTTGGTCTGCAGAAATTTGGATGAGAAAAAGAGGAAGTGAGTAAAGGATAAAACAAACCTATGTGGTTTGTTTATTCAATGATTTTCCATTTATTTATTCAACACCTGTCTTCATCACTTTCTTGCCTTTGGGACAAAATATGGGACACCCAAAAACTGAAGGATGAGAAGTTTATTTTGACTCATGGTTAGAGTCTCTGATTGACTAACTCCAAGATAGACATGGTGGAAGGGCCTGGCAGAGGAAAAATGCTCAGACCATGGCAGACAGGAAGCAAAGAGAAAAAGAAGCAACTGGGGAGGGAGATATATACCCTTCTAGGTCATGCCCCACTGACCAACCTTCAAACAAGCTCACCTCCTAAGAGCACAGCTAGCTCTGAAGGCATCCAGGGATTAATCCACTGATCAGTGCACCACCTCATGAATCAACCACCTTCTATAAGCCCAACCTCTGAACCTATGAGTCTTCTGGGAGACATTTCAGGTACACACCATGGTAACACCTATTTCTGCATGTTTATTGTAAGCAAGGTAGAACTGGAGCACAGACTTTAGAGCAAGAAATCACACAATTGAAAAGTACCCCTAACACACTTAGAACTTATAGTTGAAATAAATGTAGAAGTCATTCAGTCTCTTCTTTTGTAAATGATGGAAGACTTGACTAATTTCACACAAAGAAGAAATGCTAAGCCCAGAGCTGATTCTCTGACTAAAAGTCCATCCACAGGTTCCCATGGTCCCTGCTGGGTTTTGCTCTATCATTTTAGAGGGCTGGCCTTGCAAATATTTCAAAATAGTTATGATTTTTACCCTCAAGCTTCTCTACTGCTGAGGGGATTTGCCAGGACAGATAATAGTGTCCTCTTTCTCTCTGAAGGCTGAGGAGCTGTTCATGGAGTTTGCACACAAGGCATCAACTTTCAACAACTGGTGTGAGAATGCCGAGGAGGACCTGTCAGAGCCTGTGCACTGTGGCTCCCTCAGTGAAATTCGGCAGCAGCAGAAGGACCATGAGGCCTTTATGGCCACCATGGTTAGGTCTCAAGAAGACTTCAAATATTTGCTAGAGCTTGACAAGAAGATTAAGGCCTTAAATGTGCCTTCCAGCCCTTATACCTGGCTAACAGTAGAGGTGCTTGAAAGGGTCTGGAAACACTTGTCTGAAGTCATCCAGGTAATTTGTGTGGGCACAACAGAGACTGGGATCTACAGTGAGCCTGACTGCTTCATTCCTTGTCCAAGTTGGGGAACTTTTGGGAAAGGAAGACTGTTCATAATTATATTGAGACAGCAGACATCAAGTGAGACTGTCTAGGAAAGACTGAGAACTGTGTGTACCTGTGTCACAATAGGTGCACCTCATTCCCACAGTGTGGATAGGGCCATAGTTGTATGATTCAATAAAATAATTAAAAGCTCAATATGTGGTTTCAGTCATGATAAAAAAATTTAAAAGCCCTATGTATCTCCCTATCCAAGATATTCCTTGACTTAGATGCCCCTCCCAATGTGACTTTTATGTGTCTATCTTTAATTTTTGTCTCTCTGTAATATTCAATATTCAAACTAGGAAATGTTTTCTACATAGCAAAAAAAAAATGTTATGGTGCCATGTTTTACAACCACTCGTATTACTTACGTATTTTCCCCTTATGTCAGCTTATGTGTTCATTTAAGTTTAATGTCACCCTCTCCCCGAATCAGAGAAAAGAGATTGAGAGAAGGGATGTTTGCTTTCATTACCAGTTTACTTGTTACTGGACTTGGTCCCATATACTCCCATAAGTACTTACAGGGAATGAAGTGGGCTATCTCCACATCTTTGAGGTAAGAAGAGGTGGGCAGGGAGAAATGTGACCACTTAAGCACATGCACACTAAAGGCAGGTCATGTCTAGGACAGGGATATGTACTTGAGACTGTTAATTGGGTTTTTTTTATGGCAAAGAAAAGCCTTCATTATAAGCCCTACTGTCTGTGGTTTTTAGGAACGGGAGCAGGAGCTGCAAAAGGAAGAGGAAAGGCAGGTCAAGAACTTTGAGATGTGCCAAGAATTTGAGCAGAATGCCAGTGCCTTCCTTCAATGGATCCAGGAGACCAGGTTTGCTGGGCTCCCTCCAAGCCCATAGCCCTTATGTCATACACGATATTTGCCAAAGGGGTGACCTATACACCTAAAGGGGAGTCTGCAGACTTTCACAGCATATGCTCTGTCTCCAAATCACCGCATCTTGACTGTGCTTTATATTTGGACTTGGCTGCTCTGAATCAATCTTTCCAAAATCAGGAGATGGAAATTTCATCCTGCCGCCCATTTTACAACTTTCACTGTTCTTATCTGAACACTCTCAATTTTCCTTCTGTTGCCTATGATTATAATCTAAACTAATAATCTTTATGTTTGATGCCACACTGCACTCAAAAAGCACTTCCATATTCACTGTATTACTCTCAGGGAAACCTTGAAGAGTGCACAGAGCAGATTTCATTTCCTCTGCATCCAAATGTGGAAAGAAAAGTAGATAAATTGATTTGCTCAAGGTCACATATGTATTACTAGCACCACCAGAAACAGAATATACTGGGAACACCTAATATGATGTTATTATGTGGCTAGTAAAGGTGTAATGAAAAGCAAGTGAGATAACATAGGTTAATTGCTTGTATCAGGTGCAAAATGTTCTCTACATGAAGGCAGCATTTGTCACATCTTCTGGTAAAAGATCTGGAAAAGAGGAACACAGTAACGCATTAGAAAAATGCTCAAGGTTATCGGACTGTGTGCCCACTGAGTGGGCCAGCATTGTGGTGTTTTGAGGGTAAAAGCGGTGGCTAGCCAATCCATGATGTATACTGTTCCTACGTACTCATCCATAAGGATAAACAATACCGAATAACAAGAAATCTTCTATCATGCCTAAAACAAAACAAAACAAAACAAACAAACAAAAAAAAAACAACCCAGCTGCAGTTAGCAGAACCCATACATCTTCCTCTGTCTCCAGTTTGGGGCTCTTTATCATACCTGGCAGTCTGCCCACAGTGAAGATCATGCCCTTTGCCATCTGTGCTCTTTTCCCTGAAGCAAGGTGCTTCACGGAAGGCGCTGAGCTTCTCAGAGTAGGTGATATTTTGAGACTTGTGAACAGGGTCATATTTTGTGGCTACAGGGGACTTAAAATCTGATGAAATAATGTCCATTGAAGTAATCCATGTTAACAAATGATTTTCCTTTTTTCTTTTCTGATTCCTGTTCTGGTCCTCCCTGCCCCAGGTCTTACTTTCTGGATGGGTCAGTATTTTGTTATCATTTCTATTTGCTTATATTTTGTAGAAGTATTAATTAAAGAGGGCTTATTACTGAGGTATGATTATGCCATCCTGATCTGAGAGTGCCTAAAGAAAAAGAAGCCTGTTTTGTTTTTCTCTGTTCCTAAACTCCAGTCAGTGGAGCCTTGCCTATATCACTTAAGTGTGTAAAGATGGCTGTATGTATCCACTGGGTCTGAATCTTCGTATTCAACCAAACGTAGATGGAGAATATTCAAAAAAAATGTATCTATACTGAAAATGTACAGCTTTTTCTCATTTTATTTCCTAAACAATACAGTATAACAACTATTTATTTACCATTTGCATTGTATTAGGTATTATAAGTCAGTAGTCTGTAGATGATTTAAAATATAAGGGGGATGTGTGTAGGTTTTATGAAAATATTGTGTCATTTTATGTAAGGGATTTGAGTATCCTCCATTGTGGTATCTGCAAGGTTACTAGGGCAAATCCCACATGGATACCAAGTATGACTGTTATGCACAATAGAATTATAAGAGTCATGTAAGAGCCTTCTTCCAGGCAGAGAAGGAATGGGGTAGGTTTTACCTCCTTTCTCATGAAACTAGAAAGATGCTGAACACAGAAGGATTTGATTCTAAAAATTTGTCTTTCTGAAGCATCATTTCATAAAGATCTCATGTATAACTCATCACAGTGCTATTTTTGCATCCCTTATACTTCCCTTCCTCCTCCATGGATCTCTCTACCCCCTTCTGTCTTTGATAAATGCACACAGAGAATGTAAGCACTGTGTACTGCAAACATGTACCAAAAAAAGAAAAGGAAGGGGTTGAAAGGAGAGGGAAAGGAGTTCAAAAAGGAATTAAGATGTATGATGTGTATGTGTGAACTTCCCACACATTCTATATAAACATTCTATATTACACACATGTGCTAATCAGGTAAAAAGGAATATAAACATTCTATATTACACACATGTGCTAATCAGGTAAAATAATAAAAAATAAAGACTATATTATTTGTAAAAAGTGGAAAGAGAAATGTAGGAGTTTTTAGTTGGTATATATGCATGAAATATTGATCTCTGATATTAGGAATAATGTTTCATTTTGCTTCTTAATTAGATCTTTGCTCAAAGAAACAGGAACCCTGGAATCCCAACTGGAGGCAAATAAAGTAAGTAAAGTTTGTTCATTATCTGAAGACATTGCTAGAATTATAAAAAGGGCAAGAGGAACTACTTAAAAGCAACTTGGTGGTGTTTTTAGGTAAATATCACCTACAGTTAAAAAGTCATGGCTGTCCTGCTAACCCTGTCATCCATTTGCATTTTAAGCCGCAGACCACCACTTCTTGGATAAGGACCTTCCATTTATTTAAAACTTCTGAACTTTTATTTCTGTATAAAATAGAGATAAAACTGATATTAAAGAGCTGCTTCAATGATTATGTAAGAGAGCAGATATGAACAGTTCTAGACTGTAATGAGGGACATTAACAAATTTTGTTTTTTATCTTAAGTGATAAAATGATATAATTGAATCTAGGTAGTCTCCGAAAAATTTAATGCAGCCATGTACTAGAACAGTGTTTCTCAATATTACCTTCTTTCAGAAAAAAATAATTAAATTCAATTTCTGCCTTATGAAAGTAGAATAAGATGCCAGGTATGGTTGATCTTTGAGGGAAACAAGCCTTATAACATTTAAAGTTTTTTCACATGCACCTCACTGTCAGCAGACCCAATTTGCCCCTCCTATCCTTGGGAAACCATATCTTCTCATTAGAACTCACAGGTAGGATGCAGCAATTTTGCATATGGTGGGGTTGATTGGCAGTAGCAGACTATATATATCTTCCCGAACTGATAAAGGAAGCCCAGGAGTGAACACTGGAGTGCTTAGCTGAACCTTAGAACTCAGCCACAATTGATGATTCAGATAATTCACACTGCAGACCACAGGAATCTAGTGATACATGAGTCCTAGGTGTCCTACTCTTCTTCATCTGCATTATAACATCATTAATTCTTCAGTTTACATCTTAAATCATATGAGAATTGCAGGGATCAACTCAACTAAATCTATCACTATTTTACAAGTGAGGAAAACATAAATGAGATGGTGCTCATGAATTGTTTATTTTTTATAGAGGACAAGAAAATCTCTGAAAAGAACTGAAAAGGAAACTCAAACCCATCAGCCTTTTTTCTTCTCTCCCATTTCTAGGTTTAGGGCCAGTGACTGGAATACTGACTCTTTTCTCTGTCTTTTTCTAGAGGAAGCAGAAGGAGATCCAAGCAATGAAGCGTCAGCTAACCAAGATTGAGGACCTAGGGGACAGCATGGAGGAGGCTCTGATCCTTGACATAAAATACAGCACCATTGGATTGGCCCAGCAGTGGGACCAGCTCCATCAGCTGGGAATGCGGATGCAACACAATCTGGAGCAACAGATCCAAGCCAAGTACTGAGGGTCCATAGCCAGTGTGGGGAAGGGTACAGGGGTAGCAGGTACATAACTAAGGGCTAGTGTATGGGGTACCAGATTGAAGAGCTGCTTCAGAGATCACATGCTTAACTCCAAAGGCAATATTTTCTCTCTTCACTTCCCCAAAGAGGGACTACTGCTCTTTGTACTGAGGTCTATCGTGAAAGAAGAGAGGTGTCCCTCTCACCAATTCTACTCATCTAACTGAACAAATGGTTCCTCCATCCAGTTCTCAGAGTCTCTTTACCATATTTTGTAGTCCTTTCAGAAAACCTCCCTTTTGTAAAATCCCATTCAGAATATAATATTTAGAATGGAAAAATATTCAGAATATGGCCTAATAGACCAAAAGACAAAAACCATTTTTATCTGAGATAAATTAACTATAGCAAAGCAGCTTAGGTCTCAATAAATTTGGGGCAGTATTTTTTATGAAGATCAGGAATTGGGAAACTTTTTTCTGTAAAACTTCTTATTTAAAATAATTTAGTCTTTAGGAGTCATGAGATTTATGTTGATTTTTCTTCTCTGCCAACACACTGGAAAAGTAGCCATAAACAATTTGTAAGTGGATAAACATGGCTGCTACAATAAAACTTAATTTGTGGATGCTAAAATTTGAATCTAATGTCCTTTTTACATCCCACAAAAGTCTTCTTTTGATGATTTTCAACCATATTAAACATGTAAAAGTAATTTTAGGCTCATGGACTGCATAGTTATAGGTGACAAGTTGGATTTGAGCCATGGGGTATAGATTACCAACCTCTGAACAAGATGATCAAATAGCATATTAGCTATCAATACTCTTCTGTCTTTCCTGCAGCGTATCTTTTGCTATTCTGCTGTTTTATCTCATGGTTAATTCATGTTTTTCCTTTCAGGGATACCATAGGTGTGAGCGAGGACACACTAAAGGAGTTTAGCACCACCTATAAGTGAGTATAACTTTATAGTTAACTGGTTCTTTATTTTCCAGGTCATTCAGAGTAAGTCTGTAAATAACTAATAATTTTCTCTCTGTGTGTGATTTGATGGAATCTTAAATCAAAATCTACATATGGTAATTAATTTAGTTATAATATAATATATTATGATTATAAATTATATTATATTAATAATATATTAATATAAT